ATATCGTTGGTATGGTTACATCTTGATTACAATCCCTGGTTTTATGTGGCACGTGATATCTGAATGTCGTTTAGGCCATCTCCTTTTTTTCCTCCGTTCAGTGTGGTCCGACAGACCCAAATTTTTGGCATTTTCAGAAAGAAAAGAAAAAAGGTAACCACGTTATTAAACCTTTTTTTACTTTAAATAATTCTTTTGATCTGAACAAAGAGCATAGTAACAGCATACAGAAAAACAGGAACATTTTTTTACAGTATATTGTGTATTTTGTTAATCCAAATACGTAAATATCAACTTTTAACGTCATCCTCGTTGTTAATCCACTGAGATATAAATATTAACTTTAAACGTCATCTTCATTGCCAACTTAAATTAAAAGTTCCAGTGTGTGTCCTTTTAAAGAAAAGGAACCATTGACATATAACCTGTCGTAGCTTCTACGTATTTGGCAGAAATCGCTATAAGCTTTTCTTTCCCCTGACATTTGACTCTTTTTGTAGCTTGAAATGATAGCCTTCAAGACTTGGTTGTAGAGGGCATCAAATAAATTCTTTTCGTTGACTTCATATGTGGAGGGAGTTCTTTCACGAGAGCGGCGGCCATCATCGCCTGAAACGCACTTCGTTTTGGTGGTGGCTGTTCTTCATGTTGTTCCTGCTCTTGATACAATATTCGATGAAGTTGGATCCAGTAACGCGACGTTTACCAATCGAATCATTCAGTCTAACGTCTACGAAGTCTTTAGGTAATTGCTCACTAACCCGGCACGAAGTTTTAATGATTGATATATCCAAAACTTCCTTTTCAAGCAGGTGCTGAAAATTTAGGGATACTGGTATGTCGCATAGGAGTTTCGGTGGTTGATCCTTTTACCCACGTTGTCTTAATTTTACAATAACATCAACCAATGTTTCCGCCATATTGATTTTGGGTTCATGTCTTGTTTCCAGGCTCCACAGCAATGATGCTGGGGTAACAGGCCTCCTATCCAGAGACTTCTTGTAATTTTTTTTCTTTTTAGGTTTTTTTTTTTCAATCCGACTGACCCAATATCAGGAAACGCATTCGACGCTAAACGAAGAAAAAAAAGGGATGGCCTAAGAAGGGTTCAAGCGGCAAGAAACTTGTATGCCCATTTAGGTTCTCTTACTGTAGAATTAAACTTTAATTGACTTTTATTCCCCTTGTTAAGAAAATTTCTGTCGAATTGTTTTTTTCACCCTTCTAAATAAAAGACAAGCGAAAAATTTGTGTTTTTTAACCCATACGCCAAGATAAAGCTTTCATAAATTCTAAAGTACCAAAAACTTGTATAATACTTTGGTCTTACTTATCTTTTTGGCGACGTGTGTCACAGGAGCGTCTTGTGTTTCCTCACGTTTTAAAACATAAAAGAGCAAATTCATTTAGAAAAGAGCCAACCACCTGCTTTTAGCGACAGATTTTAAACATACTAGACATGAGAAATTGTCAGTCGTGTTTTCACACGTCTATTAAGGCAGACTAACGAAGCACATCGGTCGTTCGAAGCACATCATTGGACTTCTCAAGGTAACTCTAGCCACTTCATAAACACGAGCTACCTTGTTTTCTTATGCCTTGTTTTCGGCACTAACATTTTTTCTACGACTTTTACTACTCTTTTTATTTTAATTATAAGGGATTACAGTTCGCGTTATAAACAAGTAGCGCTTCGATTGACCAGGAGTCAGCAGCCCGAACCATCGGGCTTTTGTAACAATTAGGTCAGAAGTGTAGATTTCGGTTACCGACCGAAAATGAAGCGCAATCAAGGGGGAGTTGAAATAAATCGTTGGTAACAATTTTACAGAAACAACAAGGTTTGAAGTTAATATAAATTAGTAGATTATTTGCGAAATGAAAAGAAAAAAAGACAAACCTACGAAGCGATCTTTTTTTAGCGTGTTTTTCTAGGTGATAGTTACATTTTCAGTCTGAAATAAAAGAATTAAGTGCGCCTTACGATCATTCCGTGACAATATTTCACATATTGAAATTACGATCTGAAGACAAAATATTGGTTTCTTTTTGTGCGACCGAAGCGACCAAATTACATGAATTACGCAGCTGTTTACGTAGTAAACTGTGATCACCGAGGGAAGAGAGATAAATTAGAAAAGGGGAACCTATTGTAAAGCTGGTGATCCAAATCATGCATGTCTGCTGCGTTAATAATACAACACGCGGTTCAATGCGCTGCTTTCCGAAGTTTGAAGGTGTGCGTAAGAAATGGACGAGTTTCATTCGTAGATATAAAAAAGATTACATTCTTCCGAAGAAGTCGGCTCTGCGCTTCATTCAATTTCAAGACGGCTGTTGACTGCAATTTCCTCTCTCCGAGTATCAGGAGAAAATCGCCAAGAAACCCTTGTTGAAGAGCAAGCTGATTATGGATTATCGTTTTCCTACGGGACAAGATTGTTCCGCAATCATCTCTGTGGATTTCTCGCTAGTGTTAAGGCGTGCGTGGTGTAGTTGTTCCTTTTATGTGCGCTTGGAATGTCTTCCTAGTCGTTGTCTTTCTTTAAAATTGCCTTTTCGCTTTTCTTGCTTTATGAATTGAATCTTACTAAATCTATTAGGGATCGTGAATAAATTAGAGATATGCTCGTGAAGAGTCTGAGATTTCATACAAAGCTATGTAAACACGGATATCCTCACTCTACAGATTTAGACTGCTTTTTGATGGAGTGTTGTAAAACCAACACCAAAAGAAGAAAGACAAACATGACAAGTAGCCAATGAGAAGTCAAATAGGGACAAAGAAACTGCAGCGCGGGAAAACGCGGGTAGCTAATTAGCAGTTGGTTTTAGTTTTAAATCTCATTGGCTGAGAAAGTGGCTCGAGTTTTCTAAACCAATCCCAGCGAAGTGAAACAAAACCAAAGAAACAGTGGACTACTTTCGACACTAAATTGAAAATTACCAAGTGATTCATAGGAAATTCTGTTCCCACCAGGTCAAAAAACCTCAGTAGGATCATGCGTGTCTTAGAGTTTGTAATTCGAATTATTGTTTTGACATCTTCAGGTGTTTTTAGCAATAAAACCTCAAAAAGTGTTCGTTTATTTCAAAGAAACAAAAAAATCGTGGATAATTACAGTAAGAAAGAATAGATCCGTGGTGTTGCTGTCAGAATCTGATTTCCAAGTTAATAAAAATGTCTGTTCTCCGCTGCCATATATTACTAGCATATCACGTTAAGGCACATAACAAGTCATATGATATTATTCTGCAAGCCTTAAAAACCTCTCTAGCCCGCTCTATGTTAAATTTGTTCGCAAATGGAATTCGATTAAAATCTCCAGCGAACTTTTAATACCCTTTGAGCTCTTTGATTTAAGAGTAACTATGACCTTGGGGAATTACGCATTGATTCATTATATAGGAATTAATATGACTCGGAGAAATCCTGTCACGGAAAGCTCGTTAATTTCTTTCATCTCAGAATGGACTCGAGCTTTCGAAATGCATTTTTTTCATTACGGCAAACACTCTACACATGTTTTTGGCTCACCTTGTATTCAATTGCCTTTAATATAAAGAGGTTCTGTGCCTCTACATGAAAATGATGTTTGAAATATCCTTATTGTACCGAGATAAATCATGATAACAAAAGTCCTATGCTATGGTTTAGGTTAAAGGTTTTCCATTCTGTTTCAGGGGTGCTTAGCATGAGGTAAATTATTTACGAATTTGCCTTTTTCCCGACGCATTTTTAATAAAGAACGTAATTTGCACAGTTTGGATATTTAAGGAGTGTTCGTGTCTCCTTTTTCTATTCCGAATTTTGATTGTTAAATATCAGTTAACCATTTTGTTACGGAACATCAGAGACCTTTCAGAGTATGGTCAGTTCTCGCGCATCTAAACCATATATTTCAGGCTTCATTCAAGTTTGGCAATTGCACTTGTTTTGACTCAAAATATGCCGTCAGTATTTGCTTTCAACTAATGAGATCAATACATTTGGCTCGGTTTTTGGTTGACTTTATTGGAAATGGCTTGCTAAGACAGGTGTGCTATTCCTCTCACGTTGTCGTTCGTGAGCTCCACTCTTGAACACGTGTCTACGAGGTCGTTTTTTCGGTGTCACTATAACTTCACTCACAAGGCGTCAGTCTTGAAACACTTTCCGCGTTTGATAAACTACCTTCGTATAAAATATCTAGCGAAACCTTAACTTTTAAACACGATTAAAATTAAACTATTCTGCACGATTTCGATATATTATCGTGCAAAGAACTGATGAACTCATCAGCCGGAGGGCATGCTTTATCTTGATGTGAAACCAAATTGTTCGGTCTAATTTACTAGGAAATGTATAGCAGTCAGAGGTCAGAATTACCTCTCTAGTATTGGAAATTAGTTCATACCAAGAGATTATAATCTTTTGAATATATTAAAACAGTGGAGAGTAGGATTTGTGTCTGAATATATTGTAATCGTTGCAGGAAAAATGTGTTGAAACCCGACATCTTTTTGTGTTATATCATCTCCCTTTTTGAATTACTATTTACTAAAACACTTCAATGTTAGAAGCTAGTGGTGGATATTTACCGAGCTGCGAAGCGTCGAGGTAAATATCCATTGTGCTCGAAAATCTTGGCCGATATGATGTGGTGATGAAATATCGGCCAAGGTTTTCGAGCACGATGTACCTTGCATTTTGAAAGAAACAAAAATTCCTTGCCTGAGTAGGAATACTGCCGGGGAAGACTCGGCTAGTGGTCGTGTGCTAAGCCAGTGAATGGGTAAACTAAATTAGCGAAAAAACACAGAAACTTAAGTCTTCTTTATCTTGTTATAAAACGAATTTACGACTTGGCATTTCAGAATCCTGAGTGAAATCTGACTTCGAATCTTCTTCTCTTAGTACAAAGTCCGAAAAAAAAGTTTATTGCTAACAGGGATTTTGTTTACCCTTTTAACCCTCAAGATCTTCCTGTTAATTCTTATGATCTGTTTTCTGGGTTATGTATGGATATTAAAGGGAGAAGTAACATGTTAATCTCTTCAGGGGATTAAAGAGTTTAAAGTCTTGCTCACTCCTCTCTATCACGCACACGTAGTACGCCCGCTCAATGTACAATTCACGTTTTGAATAATATTTTAGTCAAAAGATGTCTTGCATTCCACGTTGCGATGCCACCTGTTCTAAGCAATAATTTCGATTAATGTCTAGACAGGTCTCGCCTCTTTCTTCAGTAGTAATAAAAACGAAGTAATTTTGCGACGATTATTCCAGTTTTATCAAGACTCCGTCCCACTAAGCCGTGTTCTCAGTTCTCAAGAGTAGCTTTAGCCATTTGCTGCGGTAAGTTTTCTATGTACTTTCCCCCTGTAGGTTTTAATATGGTTTCTTAGAAATTCCTTATAGTTGTTTGGGGGTGAATCTTTTCCTTTGGATAGACACGAGTGATTGGAGAAGTAATGCATTCTCAATGTTTAAATCGTACATGGGTTTAACTCGTAATATTTGTATTTCCGGTACCGCTCACCCCAACTTAAGGAAAAGATTTAATCTTGGAGGTTCAACTAAAAAAAAACTATATCTTTTCCTACATTTCAGCTTTAAGCAGAATTAAGGCCATTTTACAAGACATCAGCACCCTGCAAGGAAACACAGACATCAACACGTGAAATGGAAAGGGCGCCGGTAACTTGTCACGTGCAAGTGGGCTTTACAGAACAGCTATCACAAAAAACCGATCAGCTTAAAAGTCACCAAAAAGCGAATAGTCAGCAGAGTCAAGTCGAAAGGCTTTTTCCAGAATTTTTCTCCGGTTGCAACGAACCACGTTTCAAAGAAATGTGCAAAGACAAGGCTCACACACATTTGAAGGCGGAACAAGGGTTCGACCCGCTGATTCAATCGTGGTTAAGCTTATATGGAGGAAGCGCATGCGTCCATTAGACATCACCTTTACTCGTTCTCATGAAGGAACAATTCTTACACTGCTAGTCTTTACTGGGGATAACATAGAGAGTGATGATATTAATGACAAAAAAGGAATACTCCAAAACTTCTTAGCTGACAAGAGTATAAAATCTGAGATCTTTATACTTAGGTTTCTTGGTAAGAGTCTATTTCATCACTACTTTGACTAAAAGCCTCAAGGACACTTATTCACAAAACAGAAAACAAGATCTTTTCAAACCTTTTAATGCACGCTATTTGTCAAGAAATGACACTAGATCTGCGCACAGTTATCGTTTTCTTAGAAATATTTTACCTTGTGTCTTTACTTTCGATCAGTTCAGAGAAATAGGATGACTGAAGCCAGATATTGAAAATGTCGCCTTAGAGTTTGTCGGAAAATGTTTCACATTTAACGTCAGTGGGCTGCTGGTTGCAAAGTATTCTGTGGTTGTTTTCTCCCCTCAGCTGGTAGAACGGTAGTACAAACTAGTTTTCGAGTGGCAATTTATTGTTTTTACCGCAATTCTTAAAAATAGAAGTTTAAAAGCTAGCACTAGACTACTGTTTGTTGTTTTCGTGCAGGTTGGAAAGGTTTTATGTTAAATGAATAGCTGGAGGTGGTTTGGATCCGCGTCAAAATCAAATTTGAAATAATCACATTACCTGCAGGCAAAACCTGTCTGTTTTGATAAATCTAAGTTTAAAACGGTCGAGCTTGTTGTTTATGAATTTCACTGCAATTACACGACAAATTATCCTTCACCATTCGATGCTTTTTCTCGCAAAATTGATGAAATACACGCGAGAAAATATGTCAGGATGCAAGAATAGAAAAGGAAACGTGATATTAGTGCTACTGATTTTAAATCCGCGTGAAGTCTGAAACCATCAGAAATGATATACAAGCATCCGGTGCCTAATTTCGCTCATGGCTGAAAGGTTAGAGTTGAATCGCAGCTTCATGATGGTGTAAATGAGAAGCGAAAGGACGGTTATTTTGGTCAGATTTAGTTTAAAAACATATATGTATTTCTAAACCGTGCGGAACGGAATTATCAGAAGCGGCCTTTGAGTTTCCGGCGGCTTTAAAAACCGCGGTCAGAGCGCAAAGGTGAGAGGGTGAATCTGTTTGTTGCTCACAACCTAGTGTGGAGAAACGTACAAGGTAATCTTTCAGCCACTAGATAACTTATCTAGAATCTGAATGATGAGTTTTCCCGCCCAACACCTTAGCCGAACAGCGGCCGTAGAGATAAGAAGTTCCTATGGTAAACTCATTACAAAATAGGCGAGGTTAGGTGAATATTCTGTTCAACTTATCAGCTGTTGAATTAAATTCTCTCCGGCTTCAGTTTCTAAACAATACGAGATGATAATGGACTGTCAAGCCATTGCACACATTGATCAATAATTACTTTTGGAACAAACATATTTTTCCAGTTTAACAATATTTTGGCTTCCTCTCTCATTCTGTCTTATTCTATCAAAGCAGACATCATGAATGGTCTGCGCCTTTGCAATCAAATACCGCTCTTTCACTCTTGATGATGTTGTTTTGTTCGTATAACGTGACCCCCAGGCTAAGATTAACTGTAACAGGAAATGTTCTAAAAGCTGTTCTGAAAATAGAAAACAATACATTTTGTGTAGGTGGAAAGTTCATTGATCAGTGCACGGAAATCTTGCTGTATCATTGAATTTGCGGATGTAGATTCAATGATACAACACCCGATTTCGGGTTTGGCGGACTATTCCGCGAAAAGAACTTTCAATTTTCCACGAGAGCAGTTTTCAAATATGAGTGTCAAAAGTAAATCAGGGTTGCTTTGGTTTTTCTATACTTCGCATTGTGATTGATAGAAAAAAAAAACTCGCATCACCCTGTCAACAAGTCAGACGCAAAATAAACCACTCGTAACCTAGTCTCACGCGTTTTCCGGCGCTTAAGGCAGTTGGTCTGTTTTTACTTTGAGCTCCTATTAGTTAATGATGATGTAAGCCTCTGCTCTAATTAAAGTCTGCGATCACTTTGGTTTGGTTTGTAAACACTCAACTGAAAACTGCTCTTGGCTAGCATATGTTATTGGTTCAAAGTTGTTCGATGATCTCCTGGCTCTAAACCTTTCTTATTTTAGAGTTAAGGTTGTATTTTCTTTGGTCAAACCAAACCGAAAGGTGAATCCGATACCGAATCTTTCTAAAAAAGATCGAAAGTATTATTTGGATATTCACATTTAACAGGATCGGTACATTCGTTAAAATTGTTTCCGCTGGGAACGACAGCTGCACTTATGACTCAAAGGGGTACCTGCTCTTTAAATGATTCTACAGCAGAAAGTCCAAAAAAACTTTCGTTATTTGCTTTGCTTTTAACAAGTGCCAACCATGATTCATTTCATTGTATTGTAGACTCCGGCCCACACTAAAGACGTTTTTGGATATCTTACGAGTATTTATGTTTTAGTTCAGTTGTGTCTGTGATTCAAAGTTCTTAATTTGGAAAAATCGAACCATTTCTGAAATAGTATCGTGATTGAGTAGCGACGTGGCTGCACTCAACTAAAATTAGCTCATATGCATATTTCTGAAGTTATCTTAGATAGTCAACATTTTAATTGGCCTAAATCATGGCAGTATGTGCATAGTTGCGAAAAAAAACCTTCTTACAACAACACTTCTCGAGCTCGCATAAGTATTCTGGTACTGCTAGTAAGTAGTGATTATCTTTATCTTTATTACCTGTCTTAATGCGTCTTGAGTTCTAAAGCTATTTCACATGTATTTTCATTACGAAAAATCACACTTCCCTCAAGGTGTTTGTTAAATGAGGCAAACACTTGTTACTTATTTAGAAGTTTCTCCATATATTCATTTTTTTTCTGTTTCTGAAATCAGTGCTTTTGCCGTTCGATTTCGAGCCACAATATTTGCCGATTAGGATCTGAAATAGATCAAAAAATATCTAAGTTTTTTTGTGTAATTTGCCATAAAACTCTTTCTCTGAATTTAAAATTGAGGTTCTAAGTTTCTATTTTTGAGGCTTTTGCAACTGTTTGCTCTTTTCAAAGAAGAATGTCATAGGGCACCCACGCATATTAGAGGTGAACGCGGTTATTTGTGTATAGTATAGAAACAAAACAGCCAGACACTGACTATGTGCTCCAATTTAAATTTTTAAGACCACTTTCCGCAGTGTCTGCTGAGTATGGCAGATATAGGCAAGTTTTTTTTCCTTTCTTACCATACTGCATTACACGGCAGATGCGTCTTTGTACGCACAAGTTCTCGTCGTCTGCCAGTCTATGCAGACTGACGTAGACCTGAAGTGGGCCCACAACACGAAAAACAGCTTCCATACTGCTGATGAGACGTGATTAGGGCGTCAATAAGTTTAGTACATGTTATTAGAGTGGTTTTAAATAAAAAATGACTCCAGTTTGCGGCTTTCTTACACCTACCTGTTTACGTTCAAGATATTTACGACGAGTTTTCAAGTAAAACGCTTTCGCTTTCTACTTGTTTTCCTTTGGCAAGGCAGAAGTATCTCGCCGGCTGTTATTAATCCTGGGCCGCTTAAATCGAATTTAAAGCACATACAATTTCTTCATTTTTAATGTGGTTCCAAGCCACTCATATTCCTTGCAACAGTCCACCTACCTAATCACGTAGACGTTTTCCAACTGAAATACGTAAACATACATGATTTATTTTGTACCGCACAGATGACAAATATCACAACGAAAATATGAAGTATCTCGAAATGTTGAAAACGTGTTGTTTACGTTCAAATTCATGCTAAAATGATATCGCAATCGATTCCGAACTGACCGGGTTTCTAAACGGCTCTTGAGAAGTTGTGAATTAAAAGAGAGATAAAAGATAGGTACAGACTTGCGTCAGGAGAACATTTCAATAAATGTTACTTTTGATAAACTTTGTTTTGACGTTCAAAGATGTTTTTGAAATTTAAGACTCAAATCAAATCTGTGCGATACAAATATATATATTGATATTACCCCACGATTGAACTGAAAGTTACTAATACTAATCAGACTGTTAATTTGTTTAATGGTAAGAAACCTTTTCCGTTCTCAGTGCAAAAGGAAAGAGGATTTTTTATTTATCATCATGGCTATTTACGATTTGCAATATTTTCTTTTCAACAGTACTACACGACTTTAATTGGTCATGGCTTACACCGCTGAGTAAATATTGATGAGGTTTGTGACGCTACATGCTACCGTAAACATTCAAGCTATTGTAACGACTCAACTGTGTCACATCTGCGACGTTGAATCAGAGGCTATTTCAGTTTCTTTCGCATGATTATCATTTCCAGTCAGTATTCTAAATTTAAGCTTGAACAGCCTGGCAAACAAAATTATCAGCCACTGGTGTCTGCATGGGCATAAAAGAAAGCAAGCATAATCTTATCTTGACATTCTCAGTTGAGCTGTGACAATCGACATCTTAGCAGACCGTGAATTCTTCACAAGACGAGAAAACTTTTATTCAAGACATACGCAATTAAATGGAAAGGATAACCAAAAGAGCTCCTCTCGTCCGACTCGACACGATCGAGGAAACATCAGAACCAGAAGAGAGCAGCAATTATTGTTTGGATTCAGCGCTGCCACGAAAACAATTTGGAAGATCCCTTGATTTTTCAACTCTAAGGAGAAAAAGAATTGGCTCTCATCACACCAGACGAGTACGCAATAAAACTGACATGGAACATGATCATTCGATTTCTCAGGAATGTACTGGTGAACCTACAAAAACAATAAAGACTGGAGAAGGGACAAGATCTCACAAAGGAAAAAACCGCAATGTTAAAAAGAGACAAACAGACAACATTAATTCACCGGACATGACACAAGTTAAAATGCTCTTCCCAGACTTTTTCCCGAAGAGTTCCATTACTCAAATGAGATGGCAAAGTGAATTGGCTGGCACTAATTATCAAAACTACAGAAACCTGCGAAAGAGAAAGGAAGAGGATCCTCTGATTCATTCTTGGCTAAACTTATTTGGCGCTCGTGCTATATTTTAGAATTTATCACTTTTTGTTTCCATAACCTATTTAAGCCATGGAAAAATTTTACCATCCAAGCGGTACCTCGGGAAATGGAAAGCAATATCAACTTTTTTTAAACATCATAAAAAATCGAATGTTCTATCCTAACTTTTATTTTCAGCAAGAAATCGGAAACATGAATTGCTTTTAAAATACAACAGCAGAACATCACATTAGCGGTAGCGTGCAGGCTACCAGCTGTAACGTGATTATATACATAAATGAGTAAAGTTTAGATTAACAAGATCCTGCGTGGCCTACTGTTTAAGATATCTATATTGCCAGTGGACAAAACGAACTCGAGAAAACTTAGAATGGGAAAAGTTTTAAGTCTTTCTTCGTTAGTTGAATTCCAAACGCATTCTCCCACAACAGAGTCAACAGAGGGCAGACCATAAAGATCTGATACCCGCTTCAACGGCCTGCCGTCAACAAGGTTTTTATGAACCCCAGTGCAATTGGAAATAATTTGAATTAGCAGCATAAATGAAGTTTTTATGCAGTCAGGTGTAAAAGCGGTAAATAAAGCTGGATTGGTTTTAAAGCTGTTCCATCACACGGGAACCTCTCCTCGACACGAAGTACGACTAGTTCCGAGCCAAATGCAGTTAGGAAGACAGATAACCCCGGAAAATAAACTTCAGAAAAGATACCTGGAAATAAAAGAAGGGAATTTCTTAGAAGTGCCTCAAGCACTTTTTAATCGCCAAAAATCCAATTTTAGCTCAATCCTCGCCCGCTTTATTCTAAATCCGAATTCATAACTTGACTCTAACTCGCTAGCATCACATTTTTTAGTGCAACACGATAGTCCTCAACCGCAGTAGTGAAATGCATTGTGTTGCAATTTATTGTAATACTTACCATCTCAAGCTAGAAACAAGTGATGCTTATCAAACATACAACTTCAAATGTAGGAAGTCAGTGAGATAGTAGATCATTCGTCTTGACTAAATATTGATTTCGAGGCCTTTCCAATTTAGGCCAGGGTTATTGCTTTCCCAAAGCGGTTTAGTAGTTGAATGGAATGTAGATTGACCTTACTGACGCGAATGAAGTAAAAATCTGAACAAGAATTAGGAAAATATGAAAATATTGAACACGGTGAAACTGCCGACTAATTCCTTAATAGTCATTTTATGTATGGCCTACAATTATTACACTAATTTTTATTTCGCCGGGAAAAAATTCGTCAGATTTAAGAGATGCGCCCGATGATTTACATTTTATTAGTTTTTTAAGATCTTTGATAAAATATAAAATTATTTATCCAAACCAGAGATCAGGCATCAAACGTTTTGGGTGAAACTGTTACAGTAAGACTTTTCTAGATTTGTCATTGAGAGTGATTTTAAGATAATATGGAAAAAGCTGATGTTATTGAGATAATAGATTCTTGTCAGTCCTGTACAAATAACGTGGGAGACGTACAAGACAGAAGGACGAACTGTATGCATTCGGCCTCCAGGTGTGAGTTTATTTTATTTTTCCCTCCAGTTATAATGTATTTTTACGGGCATGGAAAGGTTCAAAACAGTCGAACAAAATGACCCCTCAAGAGAAAACATCTGCGGCAGAATTGTTTTGTTGCGTGAGAAATAATAATATTAAGAGTGCAAGAAGTGACAATGGTACTACCAGCGATAATTTGCATGGAGCCAAAATAGCATTTTATGCGTGAAATAAGAGAAACAGTCGACATATTCCAAACAGTTTAGGGAAGAAATCCGAAGTTCGTACGATAGCGGTGGACTGCAGAGGCAGGGCGTGTTACAAAAACGTCAACGGAAATAAAGTCATCAGAGACAATAGCTCACAATGAAAACGTGATGTCGGAAGTAACTCCAGTACTAGACACGTGCTCGTATTTCTCAAGAAAAGGCTGCTTAAAATCTTACGCGATTGCTAATATTTATCTTTTTTTAAGAAAAACGGTCTCGTAGGTAAAAGAAAAAACCTCACAGAAATATGATCCATTTTTTAAAGAATGATTCTCGTTGGAACATTTTGTTTTTTAATTTGCCTCAACCTGAGCCGAGAAAGAAAAAAAATCAATTAGTGTGGATTAATGCAAGGATTTCAATAACTTTTCCATAAACGGTTGTTGGTGGTGGAGTGTGTGTCTGTGCCCGGAAAAGGGCCTGTTAGGCGAAACCCAAATGCGGGAGCTTGCTCGCTGGCGAAATAGACGGCGGTAACTGAGGCCTTACGGTGACGATAAACCGCTGATAACCGGCCTCTATCGAAACTCCTGTGAATACTTGGCCTAAATTTGCAAGCAGCAGGAGCTGCAATTGAATAGAGTTTCAAATTACCGACTCTCTGCCTTTGAAATTAAGTGCGATAACTAAAATTCATAAAATGCTCTCATAACGACGGAGTAGTGTTTTTCTTAACTGACGTAAATAACTTGCCGAAATGTTTGTTTGAAGCTTGCTCACTATTCGCACATTTTGTATCGACTGTATTATTTTGAACGCGACAACAAAACAATTTAAAATTTATTCATTTGCAACGACATCAGACCTTAAGTAAACGAATCACCTGCGTTGAATGACAAATTCAACCAATTAAAAGAAAAACAATATTATACTCTAACTCGCATCAATTTAGACCTCATCTAAATAGACAGGCGGGACTCCAACTAAGTAGATCTGCGGCGACACGAATCAACTACACACGAATTTGGGACAAGGTCTGCGGCGACACGAATCAACTACACACGAATTTGGGACAAGGTAATTCTATATCTTTTAGTAGCTTGCGTTTGCAGCGTTTCATCTCCCATTATTACCAGCATCTAAAAGTAACGTGTACCTTTTAAGTGGATTTTTTCTCCATTTATTTTCCGTTTCGTTAGCGTGTTCTTCCGTTTTAAATGTGCAAATTCATCGAGGCTCACGCGAGCAGATAAATTCCATTTCAAGTAGGATTTAGAACTCTAGAAAAGAGGAAAAATTAGATTTTATTACAAAACAATTTCACTTCAATTTCAGAATGGATGTAGCTTTAAAAAGCCCCGAAAAATGCCATTTTTTTGGATCATTCGACGAAACACGTGGTAGTGAAGAACTTCCAACAACCTTCCATGTGAGTGTGACGTCACACCCGTTCCACGACGCCGAGGAGAGAGGTCAATTTGACAAAAGTGAACAGAACTTAGTAACGCAGCTCTTTCCAGAATTTTTCATCCGACATAGCTCATCGGATGGTGCCCCTGAAAGTTGGAAGATCGTAATGTGTGGTAACCGGAGACTGGACTACAGACGTAACGACCCACTTATCCAGTCCTGGCTCAACATGTACGGCTGTAACCATTAAGGAGGGTTTGCGACCCAACTGGCTGTTCAGTAAGACAATCATGAACTATGATAAACAATGACACGAAAAACTGATGACAAAAAATGTTTTTTAGCAAATAAATGAGAGGTAAGATAAAGAACAAATATACCGTCAGCGGAGTGCTTTTTTGCATGGTAAAATGGAATTTCCGAAGAAAATTTGTAAGGAGATCTCCATAGGAAAACGTAGATTGCGATGTACTCGAACTGTTTAACGACCGAAACTTTCACTTTCCAGAACTTTCGGTTTTTATAGCAAGGCTTTTTTTTTATAAACACAGCAGTCTGAATAATTAGCTCAAATTAAACTTGAAAGAAATGGAAGATAAAGGAGATATGGTGCATCTTTGGAAGTTGTAATATCAAATAATGTTGTAAATAAAAGGATTTGTATGCTGGAGAATCGATTGTGTTATTTTTTTAGAAACAAATGACTGAATTATTTGTCGATTGGCTTCCTTAATCTAGTGCTTTATTTTTTTTCTTGTCTCTTGCGAAGCCCGTCAGCCGTCTCGTGGCCAAAGCTGTGTTTCTGTTTTTCCCTTCGGCAACGCTGAAGCCAAAAGGTATAAGCCGAAGAAAATATTTATAACCCGGGAGGGTAAACTTATTTCAAGCGCAGTGATGCTTCTTCGGAGCTGTTATTTCATTATTTTTGCTGATTCAGAATCAAACGACTAGTCGTTTAAAACTGAGCTGTTTGTTTTCTGGGTCTATTGAATTCACAAATTACTGATTCTTTCGGACAAAGCTTAAACCTCTTTCCAATGCTTTTAACAAGTTTAGAAATTTACCAAGAGCAATCGAGAAATATCATATAAATATAAACCAAACACTTTATTTAGTATCGGGGAAAAAAAGTAATTCCCGCGGTATAACATCTTATCCTTCTGAGCAACGGTAACAATTGAACCATACTGACTATCATGATTACTTTCGAACTTGAGATTTTCTAGAAACTATACCTTTAAAAGTTTCACTTGCTCTGGGCCCGTCTTTCAATAAATGCTTGCTAGAATTTCAAAGTTACTACAAAAAGCGTGACCCGAAGGTGAATCCCTTTCTTCTCACGTGCACAGGGTCTTTACATAAAACATAAGGTTTTTACGATATTTTTGGAATAATTTTGCTATTATAAGATGGAAAATTTCCTATTTCTAGTAGAGAGGGCCTTCACAGGATGTCTTCATTCCGGCCAGAAATCGTACTTCCCAAAATCAAGTTATACAGTGTTTTATTCTTGCACTCCGATATTCGCCTTAAAAATATCCTCAACTAGTTTTTAAAAAAACCTCGATTATACTTCAGAGCCTATTGCCTAAATTTTATTACTTATTTATTTGATCTCACTCAAAGGTGTCAGTTTTGAAGGCAATTTTGAAGCACAATTGGTGACGGCTAGACAAGATCGTATATCAATTCTGCTCTTACATAACGCAGCGGAAAGGTGGTCATTTGCAAAGCAAAAATGATTCACCAAGATGTAATTACAAGCTATGACAGCTTTGGAATATATTATACCACAATGGAGTTAATGCACACTGAATCCTTAATAATACTTGATGCGTGTTCTCTTTGGCCACTTGTCTACATACAATTTTGGCTCTGAGATCTAAATCGTCAGAAAAGACATGTGGAGGATACGCTCGTCGAGGATCTAAAATAACTCCAACAATTGTGTTTTCACTTCAGCCCAAAAAGTAAGAGAGTTTTACAATCCCGAATCCCCTCTTGAAAAATAGCGTTTCCCTAACACTGAACACGGCAAAAACCCACGGATCAGAGAAAAATATCTTCAACGTGACATCCTTCCTATGTAGATCGTCGATCGATGTAATTGTAACGTTAACCGCTGACAATGGATTTTCCTTACAAAAGTCATGTTCTCTCCCTCGTCGGCACGGTCTCACTTATTCTCATACCCAGACCCAGCCGGTATGACCATTTTGACCGGCCGGTTGAGGTCTGGTTATTAGACTTACTATTAGGTCATCCGTCTTAGGGCGTTAGCGTTATTCATTTCTAACCAAGAAGACAGATCGTAATTTATCTCAGTCATCTTAAGGCAAGTTTCAATTTACATCAGAAGTCGAAAAGGATTTTTAGATAGCTAAAAAAGAAATCCGTCAATCATATGGCATTACTAATCTTTCGTGACGCTTGACTTTAACCGCGAAGATCTTGCTTAACCCTTTAACTCCCAAGATCTGATTGTTAATTCTCCCCTCTAGCTGCTATACATTTCCTTGTAAATTAGTTATGAGAACTTGGTACTAGATCAAGATAGCAGTTTCTACCTGATAAGTTTAAATATTCTCATTACCTGTTTGCGGAATGGATATTATTGAGAGAAGTTTCATGTTAATCACTAATGGAAGTTAAAGGATTCATAATCTAGCTGTAACAGAATCTGAATAACATGAGAGTTGTCGACCCGGTCACTTCCATGGCATCGTTCATCACTTATGGAAAATAATAGTTTTCGAATTCAGCACAGCTTTTTCCGGTTTCAGTGCACCATAGAAAATCAGTTTCTTAATCTGTCAGTCTATAAGTAACAATGTTTCTTTATATATATTTAAAACCGGCAACGAATTACAACTTACCTTATCAAACACTTGATATGTAAACTCAAAATCAGCCTCAGGCCTTGCTTTAGTTATTTAGTCCCCGAACTCGTGACAAAGTATTATCCATATTCTTTCGGCGTCGCCGGCAAACGAACGCCAAAAAATGAAAGGACAACAGTGAACTCTGAATTTATCTCAATTTTCTTTCACTGAATCCTTAAATCAAAATCAGTACTGATGGAAAAATCGTTCGTTCACAGCAATTTGACATCAGTTTCACACAAGCGCTTCAACTGGGCCGAAAGTGAATGGCATAAACGGCATTTTTAGGCGTTCGACGAAAATTACTCCTTTGTACGTGCTGTTTTTCTCTTGGAGTCATCGGGTGCCTCCCACGTGAAGAACCTTTCTCATAGAGAGCTTCCGTAAAAACAAAGACAAGACAGGAAATTGGATGGAATAACACGCACGAAAGTCACCAACAAAGGGCGACATCACAATTGTAAATCAAGCATCTTAAGCTATAAAATAAGTGGTGGTTGAATGCCATGTAAAGTGGTCAACTGATGAAAGAATTAGACCTAGGATAGACGTCTACAAGAGAACAATACTGGAAAAACCTTAGGTCTAACATTGCCCAAGATTTATTTTATATGCGTACGTCGTGGAACGACTGGAAATATCGCTACAAGTCGAAGAGCTCAAATCAAACAAGAATCAAATCTACAGGCGAACAGGGAAAATGTTGAAAGATTCCGATGGTTATATGGGCCTTGTACCTCGTATATCTTATTCAAGGCATTTTGGCGTCGGCGACTTCGCCTCAAATGAGAAAATTCATCAAAAAACAGAAAGGTCAGTTCCAAGCAAAATTATTTGTGCAGGAGAGAGTGTTCAGGGTCGCCAAAAGGTCACTCTGATGGGGAAAAAAGCATCCTCAGTTGAGCTGACGAGCAGAGGGATTCATTACGGAGCAAGAAAAGACAACAAAAAAGGAAAGGAATATTTATTACCGCCTTCACAAAAATTTAAAACACCTTTGAGTGCGACGCACTCTCCCCAAATAAAATTAATAACTGACAGCTCACAGAGCCTTTTGTCCAGCACTTGTACAGCGGGCAATGACTTATCATGCGAATTATCCAGAAGAGAAGCCTCCAGGGTTAAAGAACAGGTTTCTTTGAAATTTTACAGCGACAGCCAAGGAAAAAAATGTAAGTCATCAAAGGTGGAAAATATTAAAATCGGATCTTTCTCAGAAAAACCGAAGGACCAAAATCAACGAGAAAAAATTATTAACTCGTGGATGCAATTTTTCGGTTAAGAATTATAGCTGCCAGCCCCTTGTTGTAAATGAGACCAAACGACCTTACATGAATAGAAAGAGGAAGAAACTTTTCCAACACGACGGATGTTGTCGCGCGTAAAGAAAACTCAACTTGAAAAACTGCGCTTCCTGAAGAACACTTGGTAACGGATTTGTAACTGGCATAGACTCAACTGAGAAGGACGGAAGAAGCGTATGAAATGATAATTGATCCGAAGAGAAATTTTCTGGTTGCGTGTCTAAAGTCAATTCAAGATTACGCAATACAGTAGCAGATAAGTTTCTAATGAAACTGTGGTGCTGCGTCGGTGGAAGTATTAAGGATAACTTGGTTTTATTAACTTTATTGGTAATGTAAATTGGCCACCATAAAGAGTTTCTGAAGCTGACGTTTCGAGCTTTAGCCCTTCGTCGGAGCTAATTTAGAAATATTGTGGGTTGTGCGTGGTTTACGAACAGAAAGACTGAGCTACGCTATTGTTTGGACCATGGCAACGTGAAAACACAAGAATAAATAAATTATTTAAATGAAAAGCGTTTGTTGAGATTGCATTAGTTTCACTTTACTTCACCCCGACTGTGAATGATACAGAACACTCGCACCGCTTTACAATCAATGTGGTACAAGACTAAAACCAATCGCGACTTACGTCGCCCGCGGTGTTTTCACGCGCTTGTATCTGTAACATATGCATCTAACTGAAGTTCTTATTGGATCTATCTGTGTTGGTAGTCTCTACACTTCTCTACTCGAGATAGAAATTTCATATCTAATGTGACAAAGTAAAACGTCAAAAGAGCTTGAGTAGTCAAGTAATAAATGGGAAAAACATATCATGTAATAGTTCTGATTGGCCCTCAGTTAGGGTCTATAAATCGTAACTTCTTTGGTTACATTCATTAAATCTGCAAACCAGAGTAGCGTCAAACTATGTCTGATTGTCCACCTGGTTGCCTTGTGAACTTTAATATAAGTTATTTCATGGATTTACTTTACGACAGTAAAGCGATAAATTTTTTGTACAGTGTCTTCTAGTTAGATCTTAATTTTTTTTTATATGTGTCCTACCATTTCAGTTTTCGTATTTTTATAAGAAGTTTTAAAGTCGTCATTTGACCCAATGGCCAACCATTTCAAGTTTAGTTCTTCACTTCTTTAATAATAAAGTCTCATCTTCTGCAAATGCTGAGAATCTTGTAATTAGCGAAAGATACCTTCGTTTGTAATGGGGATTGAAAATAAGCGTAGAGGTGTTAATGGACCATATAACACCCCTACCCTCCACGCCCAAACTTAGTAAATATAAAAAGAGTGCATCTAAAGGCTCGAAATACCATGTTATTAGGGGGACTGAGCCCCCTGTACTAGTGTAATAATACTAAACCGCACGGAGTCCCAACAGCATTGAGGCCGAGTGTAGCTATTTGATACGGTTATCAAACATTTGAAATGATTTGCAACACAGATGAAATGGGCTTGACTAAAGTGATCGAGAGAAATGTTCCTTAGATACTGCGGTGTATAACTTTTTATCCTTAGGTTCCGTTTTCCTGATCTGTCTTTTTCTTTCTGTGCAATACTGTGTGATTTGATGAGTTTTCGAAACAGTCAATTCCTTTTCTCCACTGACGCGTAACGCGCCTCCTCATTACCACTTTCACTCCCATCAGTGATCAAGACAAAATTTCTTCTTACGATATCAATACAATATCCAGCAGTCAAGTGGTGAGTATAAACAAAAATGTTAATTGGGGGTTATTATTTGATCCAATACCAAATTATCTGAACTATCATCACACGAGTTGCTTGGCAGACAGTAAGGAGATCGGAGAATTAGTGATGAGATCTTAGGAGTGAATGGGTTAAATTGGTGGAGGTCATCGAAGAAAGGCCACCCCGAAAAACCCTTACATCATTTTAAACAACACAGTCGACGAGAGAAGAGCGAATGTGATTCATCTGATTGCCAGTAGAGCTTTTATCAAGTTTCAAAACAAAAAACAAATGAAAATGTAAATCAGAAGACATTGGAAACGAAATGAAGAAACACCTCTAATCCAGACCTTCACTGTCAACTTGCCTGGTTACTAAGCCAAGAAACAAGAACATGACGTGAGATCCCTAATTATAGGCTATACTAAGAACGAGTTGGTGGAGTGTTCCCTACTGGTTTTGAAAGAGATTTTGGCTTCATATCTCCGCTTAAAGACTGTTTTCTTACCTTTTTAAGTAGTGAGATAATCAGCAGATCAAAATGTGGAAGATTTTTGGAGGAAAAAGTAAAGAGCAACCGCCAACAACTCAAGAGGCAATTCAGAAGTTACGGTCCACAGAGGAAATGTTGACGAAAAAAAGTGAATTTTTAGAAAAGAAAATCGACGGAGAAGTACAAACAGCTAGGAAATTTGCTTCAAAAAATAAGAGAGGTGAGCACAGAGTGTGTATCAGTGGCAAAGATTTTGTTTGCTTTTCTTCTTAGCGACTCGTAAGGCGTCGTCGCGTTAAATTTAAGGTTACTGACATGTTTGTATGTTTGATGAAAAATTGTAGCTGCTCTGATGGCATTAAAGAGGAAGAAACGACTCGAAAAACAACTTCAGCAAATCGATGGAACGTTGTCTACGATTGAGTTTCAAAGAGAGGCGCTGGAGAACGCTAACACTAACACTGAAGTGCTTAAAAATATGTCGTATGCTGCAAAAGCATTGAAATCTGCTCATCAACAACTGTGAGTTTATTGGAAATTTACTCTCTGGGTTAAGGATGTGTTCATACCTTTTCACGTTCCAGATCTAAACAACAACTCTTCTCACTGTCTACCAAAAGTTTCTTGTGACATTTACTCGTACAATTTGGTGTGTAATCGGACAATATCCTTCGAATGTCAGATTTCTTTCTCACTTAGTCGCCCCACTACTTAATAGTGTCCATCTATTGGAAGGAGGGAATCCATTTTGGTCACTCCTGCCTGCAAGTGAGAAAATGATGCCCTGTTTTGATTTGTAGAACTGATTTGTTACCTAATTCTACTGTAAAACAACACACAGTAATATTGCAGCCAAAATAACAAACTTAACCAAGAAAGTAAAAAGTACACCTACAAAGAGGGTTATTGGGTGAGAAAACAATCACTTCACAGCGGTATCATTACAATATGATAAGCATAGGTTGGTTAGAATGGCAGGCAGGTAGTTTTGAAAGTATAGAGAGCCCCTTGTACTAATGAAGTCACAGGGCTATTTGAAAATTTATACTCTTGCAATCACATTTTCCTACATTGTGACTTCAATTGCAATTTATATTGCATTGTTTTTCCCCTAAGTCAACCAATTTGGAAAAGGTTGAAGAGAATTGCATATATGTTGGGAGCACAATGGCATTTGTACAACGGCTACGAGTGGGTAGCCAACACCTTACCAGCAGGTAGATCATCTACCCATTACCCAGCTGCTATTGAAACCCTTGCTTCAAGTTGTATTTATGTCAAGGGTTTGTTTTTTGCCATCATGAGGTTTCAATAACCTTGGGCTATAACTGGATGTGATGAGAGTTTTTCACTGCCGATCAAATTTCTTTTAATGAAGTTTACAAAATTTGTCTGACCTGTACACAACTACACAAGACTTTCTGTTGAGAAAAAATAGGTCAAGGATTGAGGTATTGCTTTAATAGTCTGTGAATAACTACTCCTTGTGTCTAGATAAGGTTTCGGAGTGTTGTTTTATTAACTGTACTCTTTATAAACCTGCCCAAAAACAATATATATTTTCAATTTTCAAACATTTTTCCCATGGATTTTTCAATTAGTAGTAAGAAGTCAATTGTTATCAGAGATGCTCTGCCACACAGTGCTTCCATGTGTGACCCCATTTTCTTCACCTTCCTTTTTTTATCATTGATATTTTCTCCACCTTGGTAGTGATGTTGAGGATGTGCATGAAATGATGGATGACATTCAAGAACAGACAGAACTGGCAGATGAAATATCTAGAGCCATATCAGAACCAGCAGGCTTTGGAATGGAAGTAGACGAGGTAAGTACCAAACATTATGCAGGTTGTAAGATGTACATTTCTAGAAATTTTCTAATTTCTAACTCTAGTTCAAAGGTGAATTCAGGTATTCAAAATCACCATTATTGGTTTTTTTTTTTGTTGTGTTCAAGTATCAGTGCAGATTGTCCAATGGGAAAAATCGGATTAAAAAGTGAAATAATGCAAGAATTTCAATCTATTGCAAATTGTTAAATACTTACAATGCACATGTTTAAAATTATGAGATACTTTTGCAAAGTTTCAATATAATTCATGCTGTACTTGTTTGAAATTGCACATATTATCAGATTTTTGCATCTACAGCATTTTTACAAATTCAACCCAATTAAACAGTCTAAATGCCTGTGTAACAAACATTTACTACTCCGAGACAGATACTTACTACAACAGCGTTTAAATTGTACTTGCGTAGCAAGTTTTTCCTGATTTTATATAACAGGGTAATCAAATACCAAAATGAACTATTGAAGGCTTTGATTAAAGGCATTTGATCTACTACAAAGGCAAAAATTTAATGTAAAACAATGACAAGAAACTCTAATTGAAGTTGCACTGTCTGTATTAACATGTACGATGAAAAGATTGATTTTTGTGTAAATGTCCACTTTGAACTTATCTACAACTAGTACAGAAACACCTTTCTGTTGAATTGCAATATGAGGTCATATAAAGGAGGCTATTAAAATTTGCAAGAGAGGGGTGGGAAGAGGTCTCAGAAATAGTAGAAAATCATCAGTTAATTTTTGGTACAAAATAAAATGTAACAACAGATTGAGTCAATTATTACTGGTACCAGGCAGTACTGAAGGAAGTATTTTCCTGGCTTTGTAGATGACTTGTAATTTTGACTTTACTCTGAATGTTTGTTGATGTATTTTCTCATGTAGGATGAATTACTGAATGAACTTGAAGAACTTGAACAAGAGGGACTGGATGAACAGTTGCTAGATGTTGTTGGAACAAGTAGTCTGCCAGCAGTTCCTGAGACAGAACCACCAGCTGCCCCAGGTAGGTTCATAGCCTATGTTTTCTGTGTTCTCCATAATTATCCTCTTTGGAGAAACAGACTCAATTTTAAAGATTTTGTAATAGATCAGAGGTACATGGATACTTGATCTTGCACTATTTTAAAATTGACTCGAAAAACACAGCCCTCTTTATGGCTATGTTTCATTTTGAGTGAGAGTGCCACTGACACTATCTTAATTGTGTAGAGGTCATTTTATTGTTATTATTATTATTATTATTATTATTATTATTATTATTATTATTATTGTTGTATTGAATTTGTTACCCTAGAGTATATTCAGTGTTCTCCTTTTCAGGGGGTAAAATTTAACACCTATTGTAATTCCTAAAATTGCTTGGAATTCTTGAAAATTTAACAGATAGGAGGATTGCTCCACCAGTTTGAAAGTTTCTTTTCCCTGTCGTGCTTAAATAAGAGAGAACACTGCAGATTACCATGCCTGATAAAGCAGAACATGTTCTTAGCAGAAGAGGGTGAAAGATGCAACACAGTGGCCTTCAGAATAACCCCTTCAATCGATAAGAGAAATAGTCAGATTTTATTTCCAGCAACTAAGATTGTCTTCTTTTACTATCAATTTCAGCCAAAGCCAAGACTAAAGCAGCAGCAGAAGAAGATGATTTAAGAGACCTTGAGGCATGGGCCTCTTAGATTCAATTGATCATTTAAACTTTTTTCATGTTTAGTCTAGGACAGTCTTGTAATCAACCCCTGCCAAAAACAACATACTGTTTGTGTAGTGGCCTCTTAGGACAGTCAGTTATTTCCTTAATCTTTTTCAGTTTGAGCACTAAATATTTAAAGCTCTTGAAATACAATTCCTGGTATGGATATAGCATGGTCAAAGTCAGTATTCAATAAAATCCTCAGTACAGTGAATACTCTGTAACAAGGAACAGGTCAAAACTTGGCAAGGTATACCGAGAAAGGTCACTGATGTTAAAATATTGTGGATCAATATATGAAATGTAAATTTTTGCCACCCATCAGTAAAAATGGGTTGATACCATTCTTCTTTTTTTATTTGATATCAATAATGATTTTGATGGTGAGACATTTGTGATCTGTTTCACTAAATGTGAGGTTTCTTCCTCTATAAATGTTAATTGTTATTCAGTGCTATGTTCTTGACTCAACAACACTGATAAACAGAATAGAAACTGACCATTATTCAGTGCCCTCTAACTTCACTGGCCTCCACACATGAATGTACTCTTTACCTTTATGTGATGAGAAGAAGAATGCAAGCTTAGAAGGAGATAAAGAGTGGCTAGAACAATGATTAGGAGTATCAGTCCATCCTTATCCACTAGTGCACTGGAATAAACTACTGCTAGTTATGTTTTAAATTATTCTTAATTAGTGTATCAACTATTACTTTAAGGCTGTCCACATACTCATACATGTGGTAATGTTACACCTGGGGAATGGAGGTGTACATCAGTTTTAAAGAGAAACAATTGTGAGGTTTTTTAGTTAGGGTGAGAAGATGGTATGAACCCAAAGTAAAGATTAAATCATAATTTTACTTTACTAGGCAGTCTCTTAAGTTGATTATTCAAAAGAAATTGTCCTGTGCAACATGTACAGGAAAATTTTAGGTTGGTATTTTCTTCCATAATTTCTTCAAGAACATCTGATTTTGTTGACTTAAAATGATAGCTGCATCATTTGATGCAGGTTTGTCTTATTTTGAAAACTTCTCCCTGAGAAAGTGGCAGGAATCTGGATATTAAGTTTAATTACAACAAAGTAAAGTGCCAAGTGGGATGTTTAAGTTGTGGATAATTGAAGTTGTGAGGGTGTGGAGTTTCTTTAAAGTTTGTATTCTGGCCAAAAATACTTACATGCTTGATGCCAAAACAAACAAACAATTTACCAGACAAATATTGGGGAAAGTTTACTGAAAATAAATAACATTTTATTCAACAAGCTCTGAGATTTAAATAACAAACATTATTTAATTTATCAAGTAGGCAGTAATTAATTCCTAGGCCTAAAGTGTGTACCATCATTCTATCAAATACCAAAATGCTAAAAAAAGATGTTAGACACATAAAGCAAAGTCTGATTGCCTTACCCCTTAAACTTGTATGAGTGACTAACATTTAATTTTCCCTTCATTATCACCCCTGATTTAAATTTTAAGGTCATTGTCATATGCCAGCTAATGAATATCTTTAGAATATATTCTTAAGAATTTACATATCAATGGTTAATAATTAATCATTTATTTTATGCAATGATCCACATGTGCAATTTTACAGCATAATACAGATGCATAGGACCTTACATGATGAATCAGAATGTCTTTATCCTAAGAGTTAATCACTGAACTCCTAAAGACTTCCAGTATCAAACCTTGCTACTCAGTTGACTATAACTCTGTATCCTTGTCTTTCTACAAACACAATTTGATTGTACTGAAAAAAATTGATCTACCAAAGTGAGAGGATGGGTGAGCAATAGAGGTGGAACAGGACACATTTGGGATATGATGACTCAAAGATGGAACTTGAGCAACTACAGTGTGAGGGAAAAGACTATTTTGACACTGAAATTAAGAGCTGGAAACTGTACCATCAGTTTTATCTAACTATATTTAAGAGATTGTCCTTAGGATTGGTAAAGTGTCTGCATATCAGATATCTCAAATCCTTGAGCTAAGGATGAAGAGAGCTAAATGTTTTTCATAAAGTGTCCTCAACAACAAGCTTTTGTGTCTCAATTTAGCCTAGGAGAAATTTTTGAGCAGAACAGTTTGGCCTCCCTGTCACTTTCCCTCTAACTAACCCTCTCAGACCCCACCCACCCGGTTCAGTTGGCGCAAGAACGTACCCACAGATAGGCTATCAGCTAACTACGTTACATAGATAAGAATTATTTTATTACCTAAATTAACACTAGAAACATTAGAAAAAATTAAAGAACCGATCATTGTTCAGGTCTTTTTCAAAAGACTAGCTGCAGCATCATCAACAAACCAGTGCAGTTCACCACAAGCTGGCTTCACCCTTGCAGCTGGAAGCAGCTCTGCGGTGTCGCCCTCCAACACTTGCTGAAGAACACTGGCCTTGCTAGCTCCTGTACTCACAAACACTGCACACTTGGTCGCATTTATGATTGGATACGTAAGCGTGATCCGACAGGGAGGCGGCTTAGGTGAATCAGAAATCGGTGCTACAAGGCGAGATGTTTCTTCAAGCAAAGCATGGGCAGGGAAGAGAGAACAGGTGTGCCCATCTGGCCCCATTCCCAACAGCAGCATGTCGAGAGAAGGGAGGTCATTGCCAGAGTACCAGCTCTTCAGACGAGATTCATAGTCTTTCGCGGCCTCATCCAATGCAATATCAGGATTGATGATTAACACCTCTCCTACAGAAGCTTTATCTAAAAAGTGTTGCTTTACTGCTTGATAATTGCTGTCAGGGTCTGATATTGGCACGTACCGCTCGTCGCAAAAGAACACTCGCCACTTCGAGAAGTCGATCTTTTGCGATAACAGACCGGGGGAAACGATCTTCGGTAGACTTCCACCTGAAAAACCGACCGTAAAAAATCCATGATCTTTGATAGCTTCTGATGACTTTTGGGCGATCAGGGAACAAACCTCACGCCTCAAATCCGCTTCGTTTGCAAAGCAATGTCTAGCTGCCATGTTTGAGAGGAACTAGTGCATCACGGTCAGGGGAGGGGTGGAGTCACGAGTTGCGCGTGAGTGCTTCGCGACGCGGACACTGGAAGAGGAAAAAAACAAAAGCG